TGATTTGTGTACTATTGAAGGCCAGGAAGTTTGCGACTTGGATAGCCAGTCAGGACCTTTCCACCATAGATCATGTTGAATTAATTGATCTGACCTCAGACCTCGCGAAGCACAGTCAGCTGGATTTTCTTTCCCTGGTACAAAACGCCATGATGTGTTTGACTGGAGCTCTTGTATAGAAGATACGCGATTGCGAACAAAGTCCTTCCAGCAAGATGACTGAGTGGTAATCCAAGTTAATGCGACTGAAGAATCAGACCAACAAAACGTCGTTACGTTAGGGAGATCATGGGCATTTACAGTATGCACCATCAGGCGTGCCAAGAGAAGAGCGGCGGTGAGTTCGAGTCGAGGTATTGTAAGTTTCTTAATCGGTGCGACCTTTGTCTTGGAACATATTAGTTGGACGGAGACCTTCCCATCGTTACCAGAAACTCTAGCGTAAATTACGGCAGCCATAGCAAGTTGTGATGCATCGGAAAAGCCATGAAGTTCAACAGAAGTATTTGAGCGAACGATACCGAGCCATCTTGGTATAGAGAGTTGATCGAGCTGATGTAATTGTTTTCGAAAGGTTGTCCATCGTTGCTCGAGTTCTGGGGAAAGAGGTTCATCCCACTCAACTTTTAATAGCCAGAGTTCCTGTAAAAGAATCTTTGCTCTTATCAGGATTGGAGCAATCAGTCCTAACGGATCGTATAATTTTGCAATGTCCGAAGCTATTGTCCTCTTGGTGAAAACGGTGGTGGGTGATGTCGCAGCTGTAAAGTGAAAGGTGTCTGTGTTCGGTTTCCAGATAAGGCCCAAGATCTTTAAGTGTGTGGGCTCAATTTCGACTGTAGAAGAGGATCCACTATTAGATTTAGGCAGAAGTTCTAAACAGTTACTGTTCCATTTTTGTAAGGGGAATCCGCCTGTTTCGCAGAGCTGTATTACATCTCGGACAATGTCTTTCGCTTCTGAAATAGTGTCCGCTCCTCCAAAGATATCGTCGACATATCTACCTTTTGACATGGGAACAATTGCCAATGGAAAACGATAGCCTTCATCACTCACTAATTGCTGGATTGTTCGTAGCGCTAAAAAGGGAGCGCAGTTAAGCCCATATGTCACTGTAGTAAGTTGGTAGGCAATAGGTTGGCTGTGTTGTTCTTGCCACAGTATTCTCTGTAAATCCCAGTCGTCCGGATGAACTGCGATTTGACGAAACATTTTAACTATGTCGGTTGAGAAAAGAATACGGTGCGTTCGAGTCCACAACAGAATTTCTGAAATATTTGATTGGAGTTTTGTACCTGCGTAAAGAATGTCATTAAGGGAGAGACCATTACTAGTACGGCTAGAGCCGTTGAATACAACTCTTAGCTTGGTGGTGACGCTACTCTCTCGGATTACTCCATGGTGAGGAAGGTAGTACACAGGAGAAGCTCGATTGTTTGAGATGTCAGTTGCTACCATATGACCCATGGTTTTATATTCTTCAATGAAATTGACATAAAGCTGTCGAAATTCGGAATTTGATGAGAATCGCTGAAACATTCTGTTGAGACAACTAAGCGCCTTTGCTTTTGATTCTCCTAACGCAGTTGGGCTAGACTTGAAAGGAAGGCGAACAACGTATCGCCCTGTTGCATCCCGTGAATGAGTCGTTTGGAAATGTCTCTCACATTCCTCTTCGTCTGCACTTAATGTTTGATGTTTAGAAGCAGGAAGCTCTTCTTGTAACCAAAATTTTGTCATGAGTTCATGTAAGTCATGATCCAATGTACAATGATGTGCTTGCGCTGAGAAGGAAGC